TTAACGGGTTAACCGCATCATGCAAGTCCTACATAACGGTGTTTTTAATCATGAATTACCATATAAAAGCAGTAAACGTCTTAAAATCCTACAGCAGGTGTGCACAGGTGTGAAACTAGTGTCAACATGATGGCGATGAGCTGCAACTACGGCGACTCCATTATCAATGCGACATCACCAACTAGAACTGTCAAAAGTCGTCCTCTACACGACATGCAGCGACATCGTTATATTACGCGGCTACGTGCAACAAGGGTGAGCCAGTGAAACCTTAGACCTGATACATTAAGTGTCATACTTAGATTAACAATTTCAAGATTCTCTTTCATGTAAAAATTAAAAATACTCATTATTATGCGCTGTCACTGATATACGTCACTACCAGAATATTTCTTAAAATATACACTTTGAGAACTTTTTACAGGGAGAGAGAGAGAGAGAGAGAGAGAGAGAGAAGAGAGAGAGCTCTCATTGCCAGAACCTACGGCTGCACTCGGGCAATGAAGTAACAGGTCCATACTTTACAGTTTAGTTCATTGAGTACAACCGATTACATTGAACACAGGGAAAAAATGTGAAATTCTTATTCTAATATAACTCAGATATTTAAATCGTTTCATCAATGTTATTTTTAAAACTTAAAACTCATGAAAATAGACAATTGTTTCAATATGTTTCCACAGTGCGCGAAGATATTCAGTGTCCAGTTTCAGAGTATCGGGAGCATCTCCTTCAAACATACGCCATCTCGTGTAGGCTCAATATCTACTGCTGTTACAGTACAAATTAGAGTTTAAATGTCAATCAACCTGTACCACTCTGGGAATAATATGTACAGCTCTAGTCTGTCTCACAGTCCCTGAACCACATTAATTTCCCTACTGCCAAGCCCTCTCTGCGGTGCTAAAGCCCTAAATAAAGCAAGTCTAGATTTCCTCAGGTTCTAAATCTCTGGTCTCCCTTTTCAATAAAATTGGCTTGTTTGTTACTATCAAAATTATATATATTCAGAGACTAAGCCTTAGTCTAGTACAGCTCCCCAGCACTCTGCTAGAAGTGAGATGCAAGTAAAGGGATTGGCTGGCCATACTCGGTGACTTGGTTGATACAGGTCATGTTATCCCAACTGCGTGTGTTGATGCTCATGTCAATCACTGAATTGTCTGGTCTTGAGTATATACAGACCGCCGTCATCTACATCCGTTCGTGGGACAGTGACCGTGAAGTAACCTTTATCTACATGGTGTACATGGTTAGACAGGACACCGTCCGGATCAGCAAGATCTGTAGAAGGTGACGGAATCCACCTTGGAAAATCGCCTGTCCAAACAGGGACTTGAGGGATATGCTCTGTGAATGTACTTGGCGTCTTTGGCGCCGTTTGTAACGAAAGCATCCGTTAATCGTGTAAATTCCCTGTGATCGCCGGTTCGAATCCCGTAATCGCACTCCCTCTGATTCTTGGTTTGTTCTCTCCAAACACGTGCTCGTGTGTTTCACCAAAGTGATATACGCCAAGGATCTGCACCACTCCGGGATTTCCTCCCAGATTAAGCAGGCAAACCTTGATGTAATTTACAAAGTTCAAATACACTTCACTCACAATGCCATCTTTTGTAATCCGTAAATATACAGTTACAGTCGGCACCACTCGTCTCTTTCCGTAAAAGGAAAGGCCGATTGGTCTCGAAAGTGAAATACGAATATTTCGGTTTCATATGAAACATCGTCAGCCCAATTCCACATATACACGTGTAAACAATAAACGTCAAAACTACTCAGCTCTTCGCGATACCACTTATCACTGTAATTTATTCTTACTGACAAAATGCTACATTCCCCTCATCCATCAACAACAGAAATAAACTCATTAGCCCATGAATGGCATCTAAACATGCAACGCCCAAGTTTTATCGCAAGAAAGATAATAAAAGTCAAGTCCGTCACCCAGAGGTTACTATAATTGGCGCATGACACAACCAGTTAACACCTGCTTCAGTTACACTTGTTTGTGTCGAGTTTTCCCTAAACATTCCACAGGTGCATTCTGAATGTTGACGAATGGGCTGGGCATTGTACTCAAATGGAGTGAATGAGTTTAGTTTTACGCCGCTTTCAGCAATATACCAGCAATATCACGGCGCGGGTTGCACCTGAAATGAGCTTCACACATTGTATCCATGTGGGGAATCGAACCCAGGTCTTCGGCGCGACGAACGAACGCTTTAACCACTACCCCACCGCCCTTTAATCAAATGGAACATCTCCCGAAGCGGCAAGAATATGAACATGAGATCTAGCTGGGAAAACTATGAATTGTATGGATCGATGCTTATGATGTCAATCACTGGATTATCTTGCCCAGATTCTATTAATTGCACACTGCACATACAGGTATATATATAACTATGAAAGTTCAGCTTTGGAAAACAAACACAAAACAAAAGTGAAATGAATCGTCAAAAAACAGATTCCCTTGCTTTCAGTAAAGAGTATACCCCATTCCAAATGGGACACAATACTTTAGTCTGTATCACAGTCCCTGAACCACATTATTTTCTCTACCGCCTAGCCCTCAGCAATATGCTAAAGCCCTAAATGAAGCAAATCTAGATTTCCTGAATATCTGGTCTCCCTGGGGTTCCTTTTCAATTTGGGGCGGTGGGGTAGCCTAGTGGATAAAGCGTTGGCTCGTCACGCCGAAGACCCGGGTTCGAATCCCCACATGGGTACAATGTGTGAAGCCCATTTCTGGTGTCCCCCGCCGTGATATTGCTGGAATATTGCAAAAAGCGGCGTAAAACCAAACTCAGTCAGTCAGTCCTTTTCAATTTAAATGGGTTTGTTTGTTGCTATCAAAATTATTCAGAGACTAAGCGTTAGTCTAACAATACTCCATCGGTCGTGTAGAATGTATGCACGGCCGTTTAACTTGAAACTAATGTCATAATCCACAGTCAGGGCCAAGTGTACACGTGCCGCATGTACCTTCTGAATCATACCTCTGACACAGAAATACCCGGATGTAAATATGCATAGCGGGATGTCTCTGTGCTGAAGCTGAACGTTTCAACGTTTCAGGCAACAGTCTGTACGTACATGACCCTCATTACAGCGTGTCTGGCACTGTCACGCAAGAGTTACAAGGACGTATTTCAGTTTAATCAGGGAGTTAGCTTCACGTAGTGACTGAGTGAGTTTAGTTTTACGCCGCTTTTAGCAATATTCAAGCAGTATCACTGCGGGGGACACCAGAAGTGGGCTTCACACATTGTACCCATGTGGGGAATCGAACCCGGGTGTTTGAGGTGACGAGCGAACGCTTTAATCACTAGGCCACCCCACCGCCCCAGCTTCACGTGGGAAGAAAGGGGTCATGAATGATCCTTGTACGACCAAGGGACGTAACTCAAATTGTTCAAGGTTCGTGAAGCACATTTTGTAAGTCTATATGCGAGTTCTTAGCACTAAAATCTGACAAACATAACCTGATCCCAGAATCCCTTTGAAAACTAAAACAAACCAGTCAGCAATACCTATGTCATCTTAAAATAGGCTGACGTTTACGATAATAATCGCCTTTTTCCTTTAAAGTAATTTCGACGAGCAGGCCGTGCTGGTGGTTAAACCCAGAGGGTACGGTGTTCGACCTGCAAATCCGAAGACCGGTTTTGACGCTTAAAACAGTTAGTGTGTGAGTTTAGTTTTACGCCGCACTCAGCAATACTCCAGCTATATGGCGGCAATATGCAAACAACCGATCCTGGAACGGCCAAGGGACGTTACTCCGTATGAGTGGGTGAGTGAGTTTAGTTTTATGCCGCACTCAGCTATTTGGCGGCCGTCTGTAAATAATCGAGTCTGGACCAGACAATCCAGCGATCAGCAGCATAAGCATCGATCTGCGCAATTGGAATAAGATGACATGTGTCAACCAAGTCAGCGAACCTGACCACCCGATCCCGTTAGTCGCATCTTACTACAAGCATGGGTTACTGAAGATCAATTCTAACCCGGATCTTCACGGGTCCTTCACACGGTTCACAAATGAGGTATTTCAGTAGTATTATATATAACTCACTACATACGTTGTGATATCAATACTCCTGACACATCACCTGGCACAACACTCACACAACAACGGAAGCTGCAGAGAAGGCTCCGTACGCTGAGCTTCTCAAATAAGGGACAGCGGTCTTGTCGTGCGTCAACCTGAGGTTAGGATTCGGGCCAAATGAGTCCTTGACCTTTAGGACACTGTCACAACAAGGGGCAGATTACCCCATGCCATAGTTCACGTTATCTCCACACACTATATATAGTAAAATGCCAAGATTAGAGATATAATGAAACACGCTTTGGAGATGGAGAATTTATGACGGTTGATATGTATACTTCTTGGTAGTATAATACAGCCTTTGCTCGCAAGGGAATATCGTTCCAATAAACCTTGTGCAGCAAGTCATGACAGTCTGTCTTGCTCCTTAATCCCGATGCTATAATGAATTTTAACATTTGTTCATGATCAAGAAAAGAAAATATTTTCGGTTCGGTTCAGTTTTTCAATTCATTAGGATAAAACAAAAATAAACAATAGGTCAAGAAGAGAAAATATTTTCGGTTTCAATTCACTAGGACACAAAATAAACAATTGGTAATGTAATAAGTCTCGGTGACGTAAGATAGAATTACGGGTTTTAATTTGATCAATAATTCTTCATAATGTGACTATTTATCATTAAAAATGTCATTTGCTTGTCGGATACATAGTTACAAATGAATCCGTTTCTCTTTTCATAGTTGATTATATTTAATGATTTGTACAGGTTTTATATAGTTCAGATCAACTGATCCACTGTCGCCGGTTTGATAAGGGAAATCCAACTTCATGCGTGTGCCTCTATCTCAAGAATTGGTGTCCAGATACTAACACACCACGACGACGACATTCGCAGCAGTTCTGTTATATATGTCGATGCTGTTAAACTGATTGGACTCACCTTTAGATCGTCACTGTACACATATCCTTGTAGCAAGCGGGTGGAGAAGTGTCTGAGGCAGTGCTGTGTTGAAGGTAGATTTAAAGTCCACTAACACACTGGAAGAGCGTCCGCGTCCGAGCGTCGGGATACTTCGGTGTAATCCCACTAGAAATGTAGATTCTCATCTCAGTGTAGCCCATACAAAACCATGCTTTGACTGTTTCTGTTTTCATGTCTTCGATCCGTAACGTCTGGGATGACTTCCTATTCCCATCCTAGTAATCCCACTAGAAATGTAGATTCTCATCTCTATCCCAGCCCATGACTACAAAACCATCCTAGTCACTATGTCCTTCTGTTTTCATGTCTTCGATCCTGAGTAACTACTGTCCCCAACCATGACTAGCCACTATTCCCATCCTAGTCACTATCTCCTATCCCCAACCATGACTAGCCACTATTCCCATCCTAGTCACTATCTCCTATCCCCAACCATGACTAGCCACTATTCCCATCCTAGTCACTATCTCCTATCCCCAACCATGACTAGCCACTATTCCCGTCCTAGTCACTATCTCCTATCCCCAACCATGACTAGCCACTATTCCCATCCTAGTCACTATCTCCTATCCCCAACACCGACTAGTTCATATCTCAGGCTATCTCCCATACATGTAGTCACTATTCACATCATGTGACAAGTTCATGACTCTCAATCTCGATAGTACATGTAGACTAGTCACGGTTGATCCGATAGTGACTAGTCACGGTTGAGATGGCGATTTGTTTGTGTAACGTTTTAATTGTCACATGCACATTCTTTGATCAAATTGATCAAACAAACCAATCCTAACTTCAATACAAACCATTTAAGTTTTCGTAAGAATGAGATTACGGCGTTAAAGATACATGATTTACGACTAATATCATCACAGTGGTCAGTTGGTTATCAATGACCGTCTGTAAATCTGTGGGCTTAAAAGCACCACCTGGTCACGTGACATCGGTGCCACCCAACTGAAGGTGTTCACGCATTAAGACATTCTGTACATTGCAAGGGTGTTGCGTCTGAGGTGTGAATGTTGGGGCTCAGATTATATTTCATGGGTAGGAATCAGTCCCCTCCGGCCTGTTGGAATCAATTGATGTTTATGTACAATCGTTCAACACAAACATATCTGCATCAAGCCATCAGGGCATATGACATCGATGTGTGTATAGTTTTCTTTATATGAACACATTGACATATGCAGATTGGATATTAAATCCTTCATTAGGCGAGATTCTTTCGTTAAGTTTGTACCGATACAAACACTGTATGTATTCGTTGTGTATATTTCTACCATTTGATATTCAGTAGATTTTGAACTGTACTCGTATGCTTATTTGAGACCGCCTTCGTGGTGTAGTGGTTAGAGCGTCCGCCCGGAGAGCGGAAGGTCGCGGGTTCGATCCCCGACCGCGTCATACCAAAAGACGTTAAAATATGGTACTTGTTGGTCCCTGCCTGGCGCTCGGCATTAATGGGTACAACAAGGACTGGTCGGCTCGGAGTCAGTATAATGTGTCTGAGTGGGGTATTCATGCTTCACTGCGGCATGGTATCTCAGTGAGCTAGCACTATAAAACCAGCTTAAGTCTGGGCTAGTACAAGAAGCCGCACATACACATACACACGCATGCACGTCGTCATATGAACGAAATATTCTCAAGCACGGCGTTAAACCCAATTTCACCTCACCTCACCTCACCTCACCTTATTTGTTTGCTCGTTCTACACCACAATCCGTATTCGATCTGTATGTCTGTGGTCGTCAGTGATCGAGACAGAGATTGACGTCATCAAAGAGGACGTCAAGGTATGACGTCACCGAGCATAACCTCAAACAGTAAATAATTTTATCACATGGTCCCTTCCAGGATTCCATAAGGGAGGGAGTATTTTCTCCCAATATATGGCATAGTGCTGCAAATACACGAGTTGGTAGTTCGGACAACGCAAATTAGGCCATTAAAACATCAACTGACCTGCAGAGCGTTATATAATCTAGTTAACCACAGTCCGCTAGCCTTTTGACATGCAGTGTTTAGCTATTTAATCCGGAGTTGCAGTTTGACATAAATTCCTTCTGTGATGACAGACATTCAGTCATCTGCTGACAGGAACACGATCCTTGTCATTGAGACAAATATTACACGATAACAATGACGGAATTTTTTTAATTTGGGACGACGAACTCTAAAATCATGTTTTTCTAGTTGCTACAAATTTCATCATTCTGAAGTTGGGCCGAAAGAAAGGTTGACTGACTATGGATAATCTACAAGTAAATTCTCATCGATCAACAACTGACAAACATGTCGTAATGCACTCAGGAGTAACTTGAATCGCCTGTAAACAATTAATTTTGTCTGTGCCGCATTTAACATTTCAAAAACGAAAACATCATTGAAATTACCATGTATTTTAATTAGGATAATTGCCTATATTCAAAACAGGTGTTTTTCTGTCCTAAAGCAAGTTACCTTATTTTGAAAAGGGAAAGTAATAATTGATTGTTGTGTGGCCTATAAATTCGTTATTTATTGTGAATGGATGAAAGTTTGTACACTAAGATTTAGGAAAAGTTACAGTCAAACTAAAAAAAAGGAAACTTTTAAAATGCAGTAAAAGTTGCTTTACAAACAAAACAAACAGATTTTAGCTGTAATTATCAGTATCCGGCAAGGAGAAGTGTTTATTCATTACAATAAACTCAAAATCATAAAAAATTTATTCCGAAATCTTATTAATGCATCCTTATTCAGTTTTTGTCAATTAGCAATCTGAATTGTTGGAAAAAGGTCTGAATCTTTGACATTCGGGTTCTTCCTGATTATGCATAATTAAAGCTTACTTGATGAGTAAATGTCATCTTGGTATATAACAGAATTGTTATTTTTAGTCAAAACTTGATTTAATTGTGTAGTTTGAGCAGGAGAGGAATAGTTATTTTGGGTAAAAATTCAGTCCCATCACATTCATCAACATATTCTTTAATAAAGAATAGAAAAGGTTATGGTATTTGTAAAACTGTCAGTGGATAAAGCTTCTTTAACTACAGGTTGATTCAATTGATGGCTATACCTTAACTTTTCTGTAGCATCACATCATATTTTCAAAATAGGGTGGTGCTTAATTAATGCACAGGTGGATATTTACAGGTGTGTTATGACTTGAAAGCATTTGTGGAAACAATATACAGTACTGTTCAAATTAGGAAACCGATTCTGGGGCATTGTGGCGTTATTCATATAACATGTACGCCGAATACCAAATTGAAGCTGTTCGTGGTATTCAAACTTTAGGTGATTGATAAAATATGTTTGTAAGATGGCACATTTACAACACGCCATTGCTATATTTCGTTATGGCCAGAAGAGGGTTTTAGGCAAAGTTAATCATATCCATGTTAGTCGTAAAATGTTGATGTCTGTTTGTTGTAGTCATAGTAAACTTTGATCAAGCGAGTATAAGGTTCTAGTCATTGCTGGACAAGCCCTTTTATTAACTGGCATACCGTTATATCGCGGTTAAATGTCTATCAAATAATATTAACTAATAACGATGTCTAAGTCCACAGTGTGTAAATGATAGTAACAAAACATTCGCTCCACTATATATGTGTATCGCCGTTCTGAGGTCGGAACAACATGGGTACAATACGTGAAACCATTTCTGGTGTCCCCCGCCGTGATATCGCTGGAATATTGCGAAAAGCGTCGTAAAACTAAACTCACTCACTCGTCCATTCACTTAGAGGTCGGAACTGATCAAAATGCTGTCAGGAATTGTGGAATAGTTGCTCATGCCTTTAACCATTGGTTGGTCACGCCAAGGTGGGTGAGGTGAGGGGTGGGACATTTATATGACGACGTGGTGTTATGTGTATGTGCGGCTGCTTGTACTAGCCCAGACTGAAGCTGGTTTTATAGTGACATTGCATGAATACCCCCACTAATTATACTGACTAGTCGACCAGTCCTTTTACCACACTCACTAACTGACTAACCAAAGCCACACCCGCGACTGATATTGATGAATGGACACGTCCTTTCATTTATCAACAAAAACATGGGAAATACACGTGGATTATCCTGGTTCAACATTATATGTTTATTGCAAGACGGTAACCACACGTATACCATACTGAACAAACAGTACGATGTCTATATGCGTCAGATATTGATCATTGGAGTGATCTCATTTGTTTACGACCCCAATCAATCATGGGATATCTCATTAAATGTTCGACCCTCTGATAAACATATACAACGTGTATTTGACTTTCCAAGGAGTAACTGTTAGGCACAGTCTATACAACCGGGTTGGCATTTTGCTTTAAGCCCCAATTTTAATAAATTTTAATCAGGTTGCAAACAGCTTAGAAACATCCAGTTTATTCGCTAGTCCCTTCATTATATCGAGGACATAATGGACTGACTTGTTTACCTGTTCACTGTTCATAAACGCATAGTTTTACGTTAGTGATATCGTAAAACACTTCTTAAAATTTTAAAATGCCGAATCAAAGCTTGTATGTATAATTTAAATGCATTTTTGTTGCATATTTCGTAATGGTTTATATAACTTTGGTCATAAAGATAACATATCTTTATAAAAGAAACGGTTTATGAGACATCTACAGACATACGAGCAGTCACGTTGTGCCCCTGGGAAATTAACAGCTGAACGCTGTTTTCAAGTTGAGTGTAAACGTCATGTAAATATAGGAAAGCTGCAAACAAAGGTGACCTCATTTTCTAATATAGATCCGTGTTTACGAGTTTGACGAAAGACTCGTGGGACAAATTACAACAATGCTTTCATACCGTATACAGGTATACATCTTTAGTATTACACATCCAAGTCAGTATACAAAATAACAATAACAACAATCATGGCCATAAACCTACCTCACGAAATGATCTGTGAGACTTCCCGTAACGAGGTCCACCTACTCTCTCTGATGGATCTTGTTTAACCTATCTATATATATACACATGCACTTATATCGCTCCACACACACGGAGGAAAATTTCGTAAGCAAACTAAAATTCACGTGCACAACCCCCTGCTGAGTGGTGTTATACATACACACGATTGATTGTTTTGTCACTTTCGGTGTTAAGACACTTAACTCGCTCAAATGGCTGTATAGGAATATTACAAAACTAAGTCTGTTGAAATACTGCAACATCAATATTAATGGTTAAAGGGTATAGTGGTCTGCAATTAGACTGGGAGAGTGAGGCATAGATATATGAGTGGCATTTCCCAGATGTACGTTTCCTCAAATTAAAGGTGATATTATCGTAAAATGAATCGAACAAATTCCGCTGCCATTTTTGTCTCTGTGGGTGAGAGGCGACAAGGTAAAGTTCAACCAAACTAAGCTGTCTTCTGGCGAACGTTGCCCTCCACAGTAGCTTCAGTAGTGGTCAAACTGTATATATGATAAGTATCTGTCAAAATCGGCCAAGAATGTAAATTTGATACCATCACCAAAGCCAATTTGCTGCTTGTTTTGAAACGTCTACGTGAGAATTTGCTGGCATTTGTCAATTATGTATGCTGCTATTTAAATCACCTGTGTGCGTGTCATGATTAATGTTTGTTAAACTGTGTTAAACATGGGAAGCGGGTTTTGCTTGTAGCGATGTGTTTAACAGCGTTCGGTGTTAATATTAACGATAATTATTCGTCATCACTGTGCTATTTACTTCGAACATTACTGTATATTATCACAACTATCTATTAATTTGTGTGAGCATTACGTTTCTGCTGTAACGGTTTCTAAATAATGTCCGTATTCACGGTATCACTCTCAGCTTTAGGTTGTCAGCACGGTTAACGGTTATCCTCTCACGTTCAGAGGAGCAGCGGAGTAGTAGCTCGGTGGTTAAAGCGATCGCTCGTTACGCCGAAGTCCCGGGTTCGATTCCCACATGGGTTCAGTGCGTGAGGCTCATGTTTGATATTGCTGGAATATTGCTAAAAGCGGCGTAAAACCCAACTCACTAACTCACCCACCCTAACGTTCAGATATGTTAATGCTAGTGCTTCTGCTGTCAGCTTGAAGTCAGCCATTACGGGTATTCCCTAACGTGCAGATGTGCCAGTATTGACTATATCATTGTCAGCTTTAGGGACGGACAGGTAGCCTAGTGGTTTAAGCGATCGCTCGTCACGCCGAAGACCAGGGTTCGATTCTCCAAATGAGTGCAATGTGTGAAGCCCATTCCTGGTGTCCCTCGCCGTGATATTGCTGGGATATTGCTAAAAGCGGCGTAAAACTAAACTCACTCACTCATCTTATATCAATTAGAACGTATTATCACAGCGATTACACTTCACTTTTCTTTTGTGGATTCCGAGATAGTGTTGTTGTTTGCCTTCGTCTCATCGTGTTTCGATGGCGTGGGTTTTGGTTCAAGCGTTGGAAGGGTTGTCTGTGCTAGACGTAGTGGTATATAGCCTGTAAACCACCTACATGGTGAAGTTGGTAGTGTGTTTGCCGGGGAGCACAAGGTCGGTGGTTGGATTCCCTGGACGTGTCATACCCAAAGATGGTACGTGCAGTTATTTGGTCTGACTGTAGCCTCGTTAAAGCATGGCATGATCATGTCTTTTGTCGCCAAACTTTAAGGAGACACAGAGACACGCACGCACCTAAAACACGGACACCCATGCAAGCACACACGCACACACGCACACACAACCAAGGCTACCCACACTAACACACCTCACCCATAAGCGTATCCATAGGGGGGTTGGGGGTTGCAGGGGGTGCGCACCCCCCTCTGTCCTGAAAGTCCATTGAAACTCTCGTGGAAATGAAGTGTACACCCCCACCCCACCAACTCCCTCTTTTCAAGTGTGCAGCCCCCTTCCTCAAAAAGCTGTATCCGCCCCTGTTTGACCTATTGACTGTGAAGCCAGAGCAGCCTCGTGAAACAGTGGCATGTTATAATAATCTCCCTTGTCCAGAACAATTAAGACTAGTCTAAGCATACAAACACGCGCGCGCACGCACGTACGCACGCAAAAAAACAAGTACACCCATCCCACACTAACACTCCTAACCTTCAGACTTTGATATACATTATTAAATATAGTAAATTAAATAGACCACCCGACTGCTATAGTAAAAGTGTCATGGCAGCCCTTTAATTTACACTTATCGTTATACCGCGGGTATTGTTGACAATAGCACCTAATGACATGTATGATTTGATAGCTTGATTTGTGATGTATTTGAAACCAGCATCTAGTTTTATTACCCCCTCCCTGGCGAGGTGTGAAAGACTTCAGTGATTAAGAAAACAGGATGCCCTCTCACAATTGTAACCATTTTTCATTTATCTTCGTTTCGATAAGGCGGTGGGTGTTGCGCACTTTCGGTCATCGGCTGAAAGGCGCCATTTTGTTCAGAATCAAGTAGAAGAGAATGAGTGACAGAATCTCAACCAAACTCTCAACACATCCTTATCTCAAGCGCTCCGGAGCAGGAAGACAGATGCTTCGTGCGCAACCGATGACGCTGTGAGGTGATCATATTATGAAAGCTATGAATCAAAATTAAATGAAAAGGCCCATTATCCTGCCGTTGTTCCACAGGACTGAATGAGGGGAAGGGAATATCGAGCGAGGCGCAACATAAACACTGTCTGCAACGTAGTTCATAATGGCTCGAAGATATAAGTGCTTACGTACGTCAAGATTAAACAAGAACACGAACTATTATCTTACTGAAAAATCGACTTAGGTTTTTTGTCAGTTCATTGAATAATGGTTCAAAATACTTTGGCTGTATGAGTTATACAGCAGTTTTGTTTAAGTAACAGTTATTATTCTACCATGAAATGAACGTACGCATGTTCACCATGCCTGGCAGTAATATCCTTTGACACTGAGTAACGACAAACAGATTTCAATGATGTAATCGCTGGGAGAGTTGTGTTTCTGTGAAATGTTTAAGTGTCCAACTAACAGGAGTAACAGAGTCACTCTATAACTGATAAAGGTGAACACGTGGCAATAGGGTGTCAGTCCTTGTAACTGATTTAAAGGTGAACACTTGGCGATTGGGCGTCAGTCCGTAGAGGGTAATGTCCGAGTAACTTTCCATTCCTTAAAAATAATGGAGCCGAGGCCCCGGAGGGGCCGAGGCACATCATTTTTAAGGAATGGAGACTTACGAGGATATTACCCTGCTTAAATTACATTCAAAGAACTGGGGAAATTTCTGTTATCAAAATTAAATGTCAAAATGACAAAATCAAGGCTTTAATTTTAAACTAGTACACATCGCTCCATTCCCGAAAAGTAATGGAGCGAGCAAACAATGGAATGACGTCACAAATGTAATTAATTTTGTAGCTTAAAGGTGAATACGTGGTGACTTGGTGTCAGTCCTTGTAGCTTAAAGGTGAATACGTGGTGACTGGGTGTCAGTCCTTGTAGCTTGAAGGTGAATACGTAGTGACTAGGTGTCAGTCCTTGTAGCTTAATGGTGAACACGTGGCGATTGGGCGTCAGTCCTTGTAGCTTAAAGGTGAATACGTGGTGACTGGGTGTCAGTCCTTGTAACTGATTTAAAGGTGAATACGTGGTGACTGGGTGTCAGTCCTTGTAGCTTAAAGGTGAATACGTGGTGACTGGGTGTCAGTCCTTGTAGCTTGAAGGTGAATACGTGGTGACTAGGTGTCAGTCCTTGTAGCTTAATGGTGAACACGTGGCGATTGGGCGTCAGTCCTTGTAGCTTAAAGGTGAATACGTGGTGATTGGGTGTCCGTCCTTGTAACTGATTTAAAGGTGAATACGTGGTGACTGGGTGTCAGTCCTTGTAGCTTAAAGGTGAATACGTGGTGTTTGGGTGTCAGTCCTTGTAACTGAGTGCGACGTCGAACTCACGAATAAAAGAAGTTGTTATCCATAAAGGGTGTTCTATAGCTATTCTCTTTCTTTGAATGCACAAACTCCAAGTACCACATTACAGGGCTGAAGAGATGACGGACGATGTGTCATGATTTATTCCAGCCAGGTAACTCTCAGAGGTTTCTCTAAGGATGTAGAACTAGTCGGCCATTCGTTACCTCATTTCACGAATAAAGTGTCAATAAAGTGTTTACTTCATTTCAAGAATAGAGGAGTTGTGAAAGACGTCTACAAATGTGGCGTATGCACGGTATATTTCGGCAACCTCTCGTCCAACGGTAAAAATCGTATATCGTCTAAATTTTCACAGTTTTACCTTACTCACTTGAATGTCAACTCCGACGTACGTCTTTGGTTACGTGCTACTTTTATCCTGAATTAGGAACGAGGAGAAAGACCTTAGGGAAACATATTCAGGCGGCAACGGTAACATTGTACTGTGACAACACCCAGCTGAAGTATGACAGTATTATTACAGTGATGGACGCACCTGCATTTTCAAGTCTAACGTTTGTAGTTTCTTTGGGCATAATTTGCTCAACTCCTGAAGTACCATTATTCAGAACGAGACAAGGAATGTATTCATGTAAAGGCATTATGTGATAATTGGTCGTGGGTGTCAGCATTCCGTACGGACGGAATGGTGGGTTCAGGAACATATAACGGTTTCCATTGTAACAATTTCACGATGTGGTCGCTGTTGGTTCCTCATTGGTGTAGGTTTTCTGTGAATCATGAATTAAACTGTTGACCTTAGCCTCGGTATACTTTGTTTGTATGTTTGTTTAACGCCGCACTCAGCAACATTGCAGCTATATGGTCGGTCTGTAAATAATCGAGTCTGGGCCAGATAATCCAGTGATCAAAATCATGAGCATCAATCTACGATGTCATTCGTTAACCAAGTCACCGACCCCGACCACCCGATCCCTTTAGTCGCCTCCTACGACAAGCATGGGTTGTCGATGACCAATTCCAACCTGGATCTTCACGGGTGAAGCCACGATAGGCAGTGACGACTTGGCAGGTTTGAATAAGGACGAAGTCTCTTAAGGCACCGTTCATAATTTATGGCTAGGGAGTGGGATTATGATATGATCCCACTAGTACATGTAAACAAAATTGAAGTTTGTTTAATTAAACTTCGGCGATGGTGGCAGTGGTTGTCATACATTGTAACATTGTCATACATTGTAACATTGTCATACAGTGTAACATTGTCATACAGTGTAACATTGTCATACATTGTAACATTGTCATACAGTGTAACATTGTCATACAGTGTAACATTGTCATACATTGTAACATTGTCATACAGTGTAACATTGTCATACATTGTAACATTGTCATACATTGTAACATTGTCATACAGTGTAACATTGTCATACAGTGTAACATAAGCGTGAACCAGACAGGGAAAACTTCCTTGAACGATAACCCTTGAAGATCCGGGTTAGAATTGCCTTCAGTCACCTTTGCTTGTCGTAAGAGGCGACTAACAGGATTGGATATGCCATCGTATACCACTTGCATAGATCGATGCTTATGATGTTGATCACTAGACTGGTCCAGACTCGATTATTTACAGACCACCGCCATATAGCTGGAATATTGCTGTATGCGGCGTTAAACAACAAACAATTGTCATACGAGGCACACACACGACGTTGCAAGATCAAACAGTTTTAAGGAAAACATTACAACCTTACAAATAGTAAGTGAGCATAGTTTTAGTCCGCTTTTAGCAATATTCCAGCAATATTCCAGCAATGTCACGGCGGTGGACACCAGTACGTTCACCTATATAGCGGACTGGTTACGAAACAGGTTAATGGACAGTAAATTGACCCCACATTCTCAGACACATGTTTACAAACAGTAGCCATTGTCTGCGCCCGTGATGACAACAACGTTCACCACTGCCACAATTTAGGACAATCAGACAGGTGTTTGTCCCCTGTATGTCCCGTTATAACGAGGTACGTTCACAGAGGATGCACGGATCGCAGTCAATGGAGGTGTGATGGGGGACTTAGCTGTAAACATGTTCCAATGGCATTCGGAATTATAGCTCGTTAAATGCATACTTCACGCATTAGAGAGGTTGATTGCTACGAGAACTGACAGAGATTGGATTGTAGTTCACGTTCCTAAGATTGATGAATTGTTTAAACACAGTTTGAAATGTCGGCATTCGTATTTTTCGAATTAACGAGAATTTCTATTTGATTGATCTGTTACGAGATTCTCAACTGAGATGTGGAAAGTGGCCTGTACTTATGTGTCTTGTTGTTTATTTTGTTGCGTATGTATCAGCTTGTCATCGCGCATTCCGGGCATATATTGTTAATAAAAAATGCAGGATTAATGACTTCTTTTCGTGAAACACGCACCACTCCCTTTGCTATCTGTTCCTGTCGACATCGACCGCATGACGAAAATCACGTGCAGTCCGTTAACCAACATTAACAGTTAAATAGGGTTGCCTCGTTCCTGGTGTCGTGTCGACCTGCATGTAACGCTCGTGTCGCGCGGGATTATGGCAAGACGTTTTCACATTTATTACACAGAAATAAAGATATCTTCAATCGTTTTAAAGACATCTTCAATCGTTTTAAAGATATCTTGAATGAAAATAGAGATATCTAGAATTGAATTGTAGATATCTTGAAATGAATTGAAGATATCTCGAATAGGGATAGTTGTAGATACCTGCAATATAATTCATGATCTCGCGAAAAGAAATTCAGGATATGTTGAAGCACATTAATAATATTGTGAAAAGAATTGCTGATATCTTTGATGTAATTCTTTGGTTTAATGATATCAGAATATGACTTAAATATATGTACAAAATCATGATTTTAATGATATCTGGGAACTGGAAGTATTTACATGTTTAATATGTAGCCATGAGTATTTGAAGATATCTTGAAATCGTTTCCCGCCCTTTTGGGACCGAACTAATTCGTTTGCCATTCTTTCCTTTTACTTGTATTGTAGATATCAATAACTGATTTAAAGATATCTTCAAAAATATTTATGATATCTTTAATTTGATTTTAGATATCAGTAATAGCAATAATTAAATATATCTACAATCGAATTATATATATCTCTAATCGAATTGAAGATATCGTTAATTGAATTGAATTGAAGTTTATTCTATAAACTATATTTACAGATATCTAGGATTATCTGAACATAAAGATTTCTTTGAGTGAGGGGGTTGGGTTTTTCGCCGCTCTTAGCGATATTCCAGCAATATCACGGCGACCAATTTGCAAACACTGCGGCGGGGGACACCAGAAATGGCTTTACACATTGTACCCATGTGGGGAATCAAAGTCGGATCTTCGGCGTGACGAGCGAACACTAAAACCCATGGGCTACACAACCGCCCCTCCGACATCTTTGAAGTTGTATATATGACAGCAGATTATTTCTATGCTACCACGTTCATTTATTTGTAAATGCGGGCTTACTTCTTCTGTGAGTGAGTGAGTTTAGTTTTACGCCACATTTAGCAATATTCCAGCTATATGGCGCCGGTCTGTAAATAATCGAGTCTGGACCAGACAATCAAGTGATCAATAGCATGCGCATCGATGTGCGCAATTGGGAACCGATGACATGTGTCAACCGGGTCAGCGAGTCTTCTGTGATGGTAGGGTTTTCCAAATAATTATGTTTAGAGGAAATGGAATAAAATAAGGTTTGACTTACATCTGAATATTTACCACAAGACGCCAAATAGTGTTTTCTTCATCCTCAAGGACTGAGCACTGATCACAGACGGTCTTCCAAAGGTGCTAGTGGTCTCGTGTCCGGTTTTGTATCCCCTCTTAGCTTTGAGATGTGTACCATGTTCTTTAACCTGTCTATGGTATGGCAACAGTTTAATTGAAAGATGTGAAGTTTCTGTTCTAAGTTTGTCCCTTTAATATAATGTTGTAGTTTATCTTCAAGAGATGAGGGAAACATATCTGTAACATCCGTAGTTACTGAGAAAATGATAACTCTTCTTGATGTCAAACGTATCTCGAAGGAAATTAAATTCATAGTGACATCAAATGTATCTTTGGAAATAGTTATTGGTTCCTGAAAAGCATGTGTTTAAGACAGTATTGGGATATTGTAAAATGTGTTTGTAGAACTGAACGCTTGATTTAATAGCCTTAAATATTAGAGGAAACAAGCCATGCTCTGCCCTGCATGCCCAGTTACGTTAGGAAACTCCCAGAGTGCATTTTCAAATGTTTGTAATTTTTCAGGAGATAAAGCATCTCTAAGGCTCACTGTTATACAGAAAAAACCCAACTGCAACAATTGCCTCGAAAACATGCATCAGACAACTGTATCTAAAACATCTCCATACAAGTTAGAAGAGAGTACATAGAATACTCTTTGGGTCTTTTCACAAGTGATTCTACACTATATTTGGACTAGAATTTTGATGAAACACCACACCCCGAAAATTGTATTTATCTGAGACAATGTTATCCATCCCTGCCATCGACATCTGGATATTGGATTGTGAGTTTTTGTGCCAAAGATAACTAAAGGAGTGTTTTCAACATTGATAATAAATGTATTGTCAGTGCAGGTTTTTGCGAGATTATTGAGAAGCTCTTGGAGTATGGCTGGTGAATCAGACAAAAGAATCAGATCATCGGCAAACAGTAATTGGTAACTATGTTTTGAAACTAACAACAGTTATGAAAATATGATTTGAGATCATTATTAAATAGAATAAACAATATTGTGGATACATACCTCAGTGAAACGCCTGTTTTCAATCAATTTATTGCATCCTGTAACAATGGCGAGGATGTCGGTAAGATAAATTCGTTGTAACAGTATCACGTGTGATATGCTTGATTTTATGTGTTCCCCGTAAGGATATTCCCACCATGCGTACGGCTAGCGGTATAACACTCGGGGCACTTAAAACCACCCATACTCCGAGTCATACTGTTTTGACTTATAATAACGCTTTGGATGATGAGAAGACGAAAATTTCTCTGTAAAAGAATTTTGCTACAGACTTATTAGTGTTTCCCCCAGGATTATGAAAGGACAGGGTAGACTCATAGAACATAGTGCACTTTAAAATTCAAAAGAGCATTCAGCAAACAAAAAAGGCACACCAAATAAGGGTACAGAACTTTATTCAGGTTGACATCATTTTGGGTCTGTTTGGCATACTTTGAGGCAAATTCATAAATTTCATTCATGTTCTCCTCTTGACTTCCTCAAGTCAATGTCAGTAGAAGACTTTGCATTCATGCTGACCACAAGTAGCTTGGTGCAGTTATCTACTTCCAGCCTGTTCCTATCGGCTGTCACAATGAGTCTTACCTGGAGAAGACTCTCTCAACCTCTGATGTCACAGTAGGATCACAGTAGCATGAATGCTCAGGAGCTTCACAATGTTTGGGTTGAGTTTTGAGGCTTGTCAGAGTCTTCAGGATGGTGGATGATGAACAGGTGTCAACTTCCCAAGCAAAGAGTTCCTTGACCTGACTTCACTCAAGCTTTGTCTGATCAACATCAAGGCCAAAGTGCTCTGTCAGCTCTGTAATCTGCAAAATATGAAATTTGTCAAAATATGAAAATGTAAAAAAGTCTGTTTTGAATAGATAAATTTCATTTAAGTACATCATGTTTTCATTCTTATTTTCTTTTCTTACATTTACTTCTTCAATATCAAAGTTGTTATATTTTACAAAATCAGTTTGAGTGAATATATTTCCAATACTTCAGCATCACCATTGAATGTCAAGAATGAAGAGTCTCCAGCCTTCCTCAGATCCAGTGCAGAAAGACTTGTCAGGACATTCAGTCTCTATGTCAGGTTATATGTCAGCTTATCCAAGAACGGAGTGTTTGACCTTGAGACATCCGTTCTTCTGCTATCAACTTTCTCCAGGTTATACTGCTCTCCAAGTTGATCAACACGCGATAAGTATGGGCCAGGTTTGTACTTAATCTTTCATTTTTCAAAGACGCCAAGCAACTTCTCAGCTGAGGCTCAACAATACTTAAGTTAGTTTTTCCTCTCAAACATCTTGGTCAATCCTGACAGGAGCGAACAAACGCCACACAGAACCGAGATGAAATAATACTTCTAGTAGGACATCAGCTGTTTGTACAGACCTTCAGTAGTCACACTCTGTTTGTCACCAGCCCGCTTGTCAATCCCCATACCAACTGCATTCCCAAGGTCAGCAAGGATAGAAGGATAGCTTCTCCTGACAGCATGAACAACTTCTTCATGACTCAGCCAACGAATGTGGACACCCGGTTTGATTTGATTACATGTGTCTGTGTCATCTGCAGTGTTTTCTTCCACTTCTCTAGTCAATGTCTGCATCTGTTCAAGTCTGTTGGATCTTACAGTACTGTAATGATAGTACTTATACAGTCCCATTAGCATCTCATCAACAGACTCGATTTCAGTCATTTGAAAGCTGAACTAACAGCCAAGTTGCAGTCTATGATTCACACAGTGGACATCAATCAAAGCAGGGTTGTCTCGCTTCAGTTGTGCGACTACACCATTCAGTTTGCCTGTCATAACAACTGGACCATCACTTGCAAAACAGGTAATTTTATTTAAGTCCTTGACATCCTCCACAATAGTGTCTGCCGTTCCATTAGGAATGTCAGCATCCTGGAGAAATGCAAGTTTCGACTCTCCATTTTCCAGATAACGGCCCATGAATGCAAGGTGTTTTCTGGTTGATAATCTGTATGTTCATCAAGCCGAACATTTTGCTCTCTCTCATCTTCTTTCTGTAGGACTTGCTCTTCTACTACCTCAGCCAGACATTTGATCAGTTAAATATTAAGAAAATAAGAATAGTATAAATACCTTGTTATTATAATATTGAAAGTACTTTTTCTATAAACATTCATGATAGAAACACAATCTTACAATAAATTCCTATAAAAAGGACTTTTAGTTACTCTAACACAAAAAAACAGTTTAAGTTTTAATTACATTTCAATTGAGGATAAAGTGTCACTATTTAGTTACTCTAACACAAAAACAGTTTTAGTTTTAATTACATTTTAATTGAGGATAAAGTAGGGTAAAATATCAGATGAATGCACACAAAAGACTCGATTTGGAGACAGGTAAAATTGGCTTTGTTCATTGCAGAAACCTTATCCACCACAAAATCTACGAACTTCAAATTAAGTATATATTATATAGATAATTAATTTAGAGTTTCTACCGATAATTTAGAATAAAAAAACCTGCATGCATGCCGTGCAGTAAATAAACTTGACATGTCTGACATGAAAGATGTATTTGTGAATTATAATATCCGCTGCCAACCTTGATGAAAGTTATGATTTTACGAGCACATCACAAATGGACACTGACTTTCTGTTTAGTCTTAAACACGTGTGTGATTTGTCAAAGCAGCTTGAGTTGCTGTTATTAGCTGCACAGAGTTGCGTCCCAGTTTTACACCAGCATCAGCTGATCCTGGTTCGAATCACTGATTGGCCGCCATTAGGAACCTAAACTTGCTAACTGAACTGGAGAAGATAGGGCTTCTGTCCCTGCAGTAGGGCCGTGATGGTCGTGCCGCAGGAAATGGGGCATCTACGGGCAGCTTGAAGTTCGTGGTGCTTTATTCGTTATTCGTTTTTCGAATTACGAGTAGCGTGCTAGCAGCGGGTTCGTTATTCACTCTATGCCAATCAGTTTTATCAAATATGAAATATAAGATAGTATCATATAATCTAACCAGCACCGGGTTTGTTATTCAGACATGGAATAATACGTATTAGATGCCTAAATCCCAGCGGATTCGTGTTTCGTTATTTGCATGTCGAATAACGAATAACGTGCTAGCAGCGGGTTCGTTATTCAAATGCTCTACATAAAACATCTACAGTGGTGTGGTCATATGTACACTGAAATCCATGTAAAGAAATACAGCAGGTTCATTTCTCATGTGTATTACTGTGCAAGAGCTGTTTGGTTATTCAGCACTTATGAACAACGAAAAGCTAACCAGCATTTGTGTGGTTTACCTTCCGGTACCAACAGAATGGTTGAATGACGCTGTGGAGCGGGCTGAGTCTTCGACAGATGTGATGAAGGTGACAGTGTTGGGTGGAGATAGGGAGGAACCCATGGACAATCCGTATATTTGCTTGTAGATATTGTCGTTGAAGGTGAAGTATGAGATGAGGTGTCAAAGCAGCTGGAGGTGTGGTTAATGGTGTTGTCTGTGGTGAATGCGGTGTCCAGGTCATCATATCTGGTTTGGCGCTTATTGCAGAGGAGGTCATGGGTTTGTTGTAGAGGAATGTTGGTGAAATGATCCATGACGTCATAGCTCGAGTCTGCAGGGCCGTAGCTACCATTCCAAAAAAAATAGTATCGATGTTTGCATCGTCAACTACGCGATACGAGTGCATCGATACAAAACACAATTAGGCAATATATCAGGATATTTATATCACAAGGCAGCGGCGTAGCTACCACTATGGAAAAAGCCCGGGCTTACACATGATTCTTGCTAAAAATGTTAGGGAAGCCCTTAATACTATCGGAATATAAAGCTTTGAAACCTAGCGGGCTTACACGAAAAAATCGCTTGCTATGCGCCTGGTCTGGAACGGGTTCAGGCTATTTTCATAATTTAAATATAAAAGTTCTCTGTGCACATGAAATGGGGTTTATAGTAAATAAGTGAGTAGGCTTCACACATCGTACCGGTGTAGGGAATCGAAACGGGGACTAAAGTTTATACAGCGAACGCTTTGACTAGTCGGCTCCAAAACTGAAATGTGGTCTAATCTCGCTGTTAAGATTAATGTTCTTGTATAGCAACGGGTATACACAACATAAGGGAACACCAACCGCAATGAAAGATATGGGCTTTCTTTAACTTCTTATGAAAAGTTCATAAACCATTAATATTGAGTTATTAAATTGAGTCCATTCACACACTCTGTCAGCTTCTTGCGTCGTAGGACCGCATCCGTGGTGTAGTGGTTAGAGCGTCCGCCCGGAGAGCGGAAGGTCGTGGGTTCGATCCCCGACCGCGTCATACCAGAAGACGTTAAAATATGGCACTTGTTGGTCCCTGCCTGGCGGTCGGCATTAATGGGTACAACAAGGACTGGTCGGCTCGGAGTCAGTTTAATGTGTCTAAGTGGGGTATTCATGCTTCACTGCGGCCTGGTATCTCAGTGGGCTAGCACTATAAAACCAGCTTCAGTCAGGGCTAGTACAAGCAGCCGCACATACACATACACCCCCATGCACGTCGTCATATGAACGAAATATTCTTAAGTACGACGTAAAACCCAATTTCACCTCACCTCATCTCTTGCGTCGTAGGTATTTTATGGACGTTTCAGTCACTCTAAAATACAGTCTATTGATTTAATTATTAAGATGATAATAATGCCTATATCTCAGTATGATCATATCATTATATTATTGATTCAACATAAAATAGAATGGGGGCGGTGAGGTAGCCCAATGGTTAAAGCGTTCGCTCGTCACGCTGAACACCCTGGTTCGATTCCCCACATGGGTACATTGTGTGAAGTCCATTTGTGTGAAGTCCCCCGCCGTGATATTGCTGGAATATTGCCAACTCACTCACGCACTCACTATGCCAAATGAAGCAGAAATTCCAAATATCGACGGTATTACCACACCAATAAAAAAACTGCTAATATGTCATCGGTGATATTGACGAAATGTTCAGAAGGTAAACCTTTCATTGTCTCAAATCTCGTGAAAGCAATGAATCTAACCGTAGAACAATATTATATAATGTATCGCACTTGATATATCTGAAATATGAGCTAATGATATTATTAGTTTTGTTTGCTCACTTGACTTTGTTTGAGGCACGATAAGAGAACAACCGTAAAACGATCGATAGAAAACTCTAGTTAATAAAACAACTCGTTGAGCTTATATTGGTAACACTTTCTGAAAATATTGTTTGATTATACGTACACTGGAGGGAGGTTGGTTGGTAATTGTTTAACGCCGCTCCCAGACTATATGACGAGGGTCTGTAAATAATCGAGCCTGGACCAGACAATCCAATGATCAACAGCATGATCATTGATCTATACAACTGTCATACGGTGACATGTGCAAACCAAGTCAGCAAACCTTACCACCCATTCCCGTGGGTCGCCTCTTATGACAAGCATGGGTTACTGAAGACCAATTCTAACCCGGATCTTACCGGATCACGGGAGGGAGGAATACCTAGCCAAACCCATACTTGCAATGGGATGTCTAAAATGGTCCCTTAAAACACAATGGGAATACAAGGACTCAGGACAGGAAGCACACAGTGCGTGGACAACCATGATTGAAATTGGTACAACTAGATCTGTCAGAACTGTTTTTCTGTGGAGACGCACTTCGCCTTCTCAATATCGTCGCTACGGACACGTGATAGCCAACTACAGGTGAGAATGTGTTATTGTAACCCACCTTATCCCCGTGGATTTCCAGACTCAATTAACGTTAACCAGATTACCAAGCAGAACGCAGTTTCATATATAAGAAGTTATTCTTTATTTCCTTTAAATATACTACTACTACCACAACAACTACTAATACTACTACGACTAGTACTACGACTACTCATACGACTACTACTACCACTACGACGACTACGACTACGATCTGCTATTACTACTACTACTACTGTTACCTACTCATACTACTACCACCACTACGGCGACAACTGCTGCTGCTACTACTTGCGTCTTGCCTCAGTTTTCTGAAAAGCAGCCATGTTTGGACATAATCACAGTGTCAATGTTGATTTTACTGACGGTTCTGTAGAACTGCTGGACGGTACAGTACAGTCACAAACAAGCGAAATGCCACATCAAATCCGGGCGGTGGGGTAGCCTAGTGGTTAAAGCGTTCGCTCGTCACGCTGAAGACCCGGGTTCGAATCCCCACATGGGTACAATGTGTGAAGCCCATTTCTGGTGTCCCCGCCGTGATGTTGCTGGAATATTACTAAAAGCGGCGTAAAACCAAACTCAGTCAGTCAG